TAAGTAAGTAAGTAAGTAAGTAAGTAAGTAAGTAAGTAAGTAAGTAAGTAAGTAAGTAAGTAAGTAAGTAAGTAAGTAAGTAGGTAAGTAAGTAAGTAAGTAAGTAAGTAAGTAAGTAAGTAAGTAAGTAAGTAAGTAAGTAAGTAAGTAAGTAAGTAAGTAAGTAAGTAAGTAAGTAAGTAAGTAAGTAAGTAAGTAAGTAAGTAAGTAAGTAAGTAAGTAAGTAAGTAAGTAAGTAAGTAAGTAAGTAAGTAAGTAAGTAAGTAAGTAAGTAAGTAAGTAAGTAAGTAAGTAAGTAAGTAAGTAAGTAAGTAAGTAAGTAAGTAAGTAAGTAAGTAAGTAAGTAAGTAAGTAAGTAAGTAAGTAAGTAAGTAAGTAAGTAAGTAAGTAAGTAAGTAAGTAAGTAAGTAAGTAAGTAAGTAAGTAAGTAAGTAAGTAAGTAAGTAAGTAAGTAAGTAAGTAAGTAAGTAAGTAAGTAAGTAAGTAAGTAAGTAAGTAAGTAAGTAAGTAAGTAAGTAAGTAAGTAAGTAAGTAAGTAAGTAAGTAAGTAAGTAAGTAAGTAAGTAAGTAAGTAAGTAAGTAAGTAAGTAAGTAAGTAAGTAAGTAAGTAAGTAAGTAAGTAAGTAAGTAAGTAAGTAAGTAAGTAAGTAAGTAAGTAAGTAAGTAAGTAAGTAAGTAAGTAAGTAAGTAAGTAAGTAAGTAAGTAAGTAAGTAAGTAAGTAAGTAAGTAAGTAAGTAAGTAAGTAAGTAAGTAAGTAAGTAAGTAAGTAAGTAAGTAAGTAAGTAAGTAAGTAAGTAAGTAAGTAAGTAAGTAAGTAAGTAAGTAAGTAAGTAAGTAAGTAAGTAAGTAAGTAAGTAAGTAAGTAAGTAAGTAAGTAAGTAAGTAAGTAAGTAAGTAAGTAAGTAAGTAAGTAAGTAAGTAAGTAAGTAAGTAAGTAAGTAAGTAAGTAAGTAAGTAAGTAAGTAAGTAAGTAAGTAAGTAAGTAAGTAAGTAAGTAAGTAAGTAAGTAAGTAAGTAAGTAAGTAAGTAAGTAAGTAAGTAAGTAAGTAAGTAAGTAAGTAAGTAAGTAAGTAAAAGAATGGTAATATTCACAACTCTACTAGTTTTATTTTTCAAATAACTATTACCATGAGATTGTTTTGTATTGCATTGTAAATGGCTTTGAATGACAAGCTTACATACATACATACATACATACATACATACATACATACATACATACATACATACATACATACATACATACCTATATATATACTTGCTTACATAATGGTTATTTTTAATTTATCTAAATGAATCAAATATATTTCTTCCATAGCGACAATACAATGATCAAAATTACAAGGGAATGGGAAAGTGCAGAAGGAATGTTTAGAAAGGATTTTTACTCTTTCGTTACACCAGCCATCTTGGTAAGTCAATATATATGTTTTACACTTTTTTTCTATATTTCACTTAACAACAAGAAATAGTTTCAAAGATACATAAATATGTATCCATTTGTCAATACAGTCTATGGATATATTAGATATTGGAATGACAAATAGATGACTAACTAACTAACTAACTTACTTACGGTTGTCACTCCCAATGGAGTATAGGCAGCCGACCAGCATTTTGCAACACACTCTGTCCTCGACTTTTCTTTCTACTTCTATCCGATTCTTGTTAATTCTTTTCACATCTGTCTTCATTTATCGGTGTAATGTGTTTTTTGGTCTCTGCAGCCTCTTTTAGCCTTGAGTATTCCAACTGAGGGCTTGTCTTGTGACGCATTTGGTTGCTTTCCTCAATGTGTGTTCTATCCACCTCCAGAGTTTCTTCCTTCACTGGAATGTGGTTTGTTCTCTCCCAAAGTAAATAAACAGATTGCTGCATGTTATCTATTTTATTTGTATAATATTGGTTAACTTTGACAGGTAACCTTTTGTTTACATCATTAAGTGTTTACCTACAGACAAGATTTTGGAAACTCACTTCATTTACTTCAGTTCTAGGGTAGGATGAATAACGTGTGGCTGAAATCAGAGTACAGAAATCCATACTTGATGATGAAATTACAATTTCATGGTAGTAAAATTCTATAAAATACATGTACAACTGCAGAGAATCTAAAGAGATTGAAAAAAAACAGCTCGTAAACAACTGTAGTGAACGAGAACACAAATTGAGACAATCGAATGTATTTCAAAAAAAAATTACAGAACATCTTAGTAAAATCTCAGATACATACAGTAAATACATCATTTGCAAAATGTCAATCAATGGTCTCAAACTTGACTGCTCTCTCTTCAAATATCAGTCAGTCGTCTCAAACTCCGCTGTTTCTACATTTTCATATCACTTGTTTTCCGTTCCCGTTTTTCTCGATATTCTACTGAAATGCATTATATTTCTAACTAGAGTTATATACTACTTATGTCAATATAAGTAGCTCACACCACACAACTAAAGTTTTCTGATAATAAAATTAGTTTCATGAGTAATGTGTAACAATGAAATTCAGGAATAACATAATGTCTATTTTGAGATACATAGGCTGGACGTACTTACATCATTAGTCTACTTGTTTGTGACATATACATAGTTTTTCGATAGATATGTCATGTTCTTATTACTTTTATGAATACACTCATTCTCGACAAAGATTGCTCATTTGTACCTCTGAATGTCAATTTACTGCACTGTTTAACACAATAATAATGTTTAATGTAAGTATTGTAAGCCGCTGTCGTTCTACAGTAGTGTGTCACGTAAATAAGTGATTCAAAGTTATATAATTTAAAAATAATGAGAATTCAGCGAAGAAAAATTTCTTTCCAAAGAAATCATTTACTTAAGCTGTACATTCGTATTTATAGTTATTGTGGAAAATATATGAGTTTATAGAAGGATAGAAATGATTACGTCATAAATTGATTCAAGATTCTTTCTTCTGGTGGTCGACTGGATTATGAAGACCTCAACATCTGAGAGAGAACACGGAATACAGTGAACAACTCAGAATCAATTAGACGATTTGAGCTTCGCAGATGACCTAGCTCTCCTGCCGCACACACATGAACAAATGCAGATAAAGACAGCCAGTGTAGCAGCAGTCTCTGCATCAGTAGGCCTCAGCATACATAAAGGGAAAACCAAGGTCCTCAAATTCATAACGAAGTACAGCAATCCAACCACTCTTGATGGCGAAACTCTGGAAGATGTAGAATCCTTCACACACCTGGGAAGCATCATCGACGAACAAGGAGGTTCGGATGCAGACGTAAAGGCGAGGATTGGCAAAGCAAGGGCCTCATTCTTACAACTGAAGAACATATGCAACTCAAAACAACTATCTGTCAACCAATATCAAAGTGAGAATCTTCAATACGAACGTCAAGGCAGTTCTACTGTATGGAGCTGAAACTTGTAGAAATACAACAACCACCATCAAGAAGGTACAAGTATTTGTAAATATCTGTCTACCCAAGATACTCAACATCCATTGGCCGGATACCATCAGCAATAGCATTCTGTGGGAGAGAACAAACCAACTTCCAGCTGAAGAAGAAATTAGGAAAAGACGATGGAAATGGATAGGACATACATTAAGCAAATCATCAAACTGCATCACGAGGCAAGCCGTAACTTGGAATCATGAAGGGAAGCGGAAAAGGGGAAGGCCAAAGAACACATTACGTTGGATAATAGAAGCAGATATGGAAAAGATGAATAACAACTAGAAAGAGCTAGAAAGGATTGTCCAGGACAGGGATGGATGGAGAATGCTGGTGAGCGGCCTATGCTCCTTCACGAAGAGTAACAGGCGTAAGTAAGTAATAAGTATGATGAGGTTACATAATAATTGAGGGAGAAGAGAAGAGTGTAATGCTGGATTCTCTTTATTTTTTATTCAATGACATAATGGATTATTTTAATTATATAATTTATTGAAATAATAATTGACCTTGAGTTATATTCTAATATTCGAGTATATGTTGTTGTAATTTGTTGTGACTTTGAGCCTGACTAACTATCATGTGGATGATTGGCCATTCAGTCTTAGTACTCTACCATACCAATGACGTTCGACCGGAATGAATAGTCTAGTGTTTTTATTCATCCTTTGTCCTCCTAACCTTTCCAGTTGAGTCTGGAACGTCAATAACAGCTTCTACTACGGATATCACAATGAGTTATTTAAGAATAATATAGAACACATTTGAAGTTATTTTAATGTTACTAAACAATATGAATATTATATACATACTATTTAGAGAGCTGCAAAAAAGCATTTGAAATGTGCACGTTTAAATGGAGTTGATTTAGAAAATCAAAAACATCGTGGACCAATTAGTTCTCATTGGGAAGGGAAAACATACGGAGTAAGTTAAATCATCATTTATGATAGAATACTGTAGAAAACTGTAGTAAAAATTATCTATTACAAAATGAGGTTTATGGATTCGAATAGAGGACCTTTGGTCTTGCACGCCAATGGCTGGATCTAGCGATCGTAGATGTACACTGTTGAGTCGCACAATAGAACGAAATGGCTGTCCAGTGCTTTCAGGTTTTCAAGGGCGATCTAACATCAATCGGTTCATGATCTCAATCAAAAAAGTATATTTTATTAGATATTTTTTAATGTTTTTCTATAATGGTATTTCAACTGGTATTTAGTTTTTATAACTAACTGGTATTTATAATAGAAATATTACAAAATAAACAGGATTATAAACATTGGTCTCTTGACGATTCACGATCCAGTTTATATCAGTTGTTTAAATAATTTTCATGATTTTATTAGCTAAGATGAATGTTGATTAGCAGTGTAATCCAGGATGAACGTTTCACCTTATTTGGCACTCGTCAGCTGAATGCACCTGCATCCTAGAATTGATTTTCACTTCGGAACTTATAAAACTGGTAACTTACGTTTATATCAAGGCAATCCGCACAGGATGCACATATGTCAACAAGAGACTGATCAATATAAATCTTAAACAACAATGAAAGGTTACAAGCAATGAATATCAAGTCAATTTAATCTTTATGATTGTACAAGAAAATCGACAAAGCTAGATTTAAATAAAAACGGAAGACACAACAGATGAAAATCTACTTCTAAATTCTTTTATTTTTTTTTACATATGCTCACTAGTGACTGGCTTCAAAAGCCATGCTGAGAAACAGTGACCAGTGGAGTTCAACTGGGTCTGTTGTGAGATAGTAACTCACTGATGACAATGGTGGATGTGTCGCTCAATTTTGTGGATTAGTTGAAGTTAGACATTTACACTGTTGGATGCTGGTTCAGTGGTCTAGTGGTTATGTGTTAGAGCACAAGACTGATAGGTCCTGGGTTCAAACCTCACGAGTCGAGATTGTGGATGCGCACTGTTGAGGAGTCTCACAATAGTTCGAAAAGGCTGTCTATTGCTTCCAGGTTTTCCATAGTTATCTAGCTTAAGTTGACTCATGATCTTAACTATTGAAATTACTATAATATCTACAAAAAATCCCTTCTGATTTTATTTTCATTCCTTATTGATACTGATTTTTTGCAAGAGCAGTATTTAACACTATTTAGTCAAGAAATTAACATCTAAACAAAGTTTACAAGACCGGTGTCAGGCAAGGTTGCTTACTCTCACCCTTCCTCTTTCTCCTGGTGATCGACTGCATCATGCAGACGTCAACATCTGAAGGGAAACACGGGATACAGTGAACTTCTAGGATGCAGTTGGACGATCTAGACTTCGCAGATGATCTGGCTCTTCTATCGCAAACGCAGCAACAAATGCAGGAGAAGACGACCAGTGTAGCGGCAGCCTCAGCAGCAGTAGGTCTCAATATACACAAAGGGAAAAGCAAGATTCTCCGATACAACACAGAATGCACCAATCCAATCACAATTGACGGAGAGGATTTGGAAGATGTGAAAACCTTTACATATTTGGGCAGCATCATTGATGAACAGGGTGGATCTGATGCAGGTGTGAAGGCGCGTATCGGCAAAGTAAGAGCAGCATATTTACAACTGAAGAACATCTGGAACTCAAAGCAACTGTCAACCAACACCAAGGTCAGGATTTTCAATACAAATGTCATGACAATTCTACCGTATGGGGCAGAAACCTGGATAACTACGAAAGCCATCATCCAGAAGATACAGGTGTTTATTAACAGTTGACTACGTAAAATACTTCGGATCCGTTGGCCGGACACTATTGGCAACAACCTACTGTGGGAGAGAACAAACCAAATCCCAGAGGAGGAAGAGATCAGAAAGAGGCGTTGGAAGTGATTAGGACACACGTTGAAGAAAAAACCCAACTACGCCACAAGAGAAACCCTCACTTGGAATCCTCAGGGTCAAAGGAGAAGAGAAAAACCAAAGAACATATTACGTCGGGAAATGGAAATAGACATGAGAAAGATGAACAAGAATTGGATGGAATTAGAAAAGAAGGCCCGGGCCAGAGTGGGTTGGAGAGTTCTGGTCGACGGCGTGTGCTCCATTAGGCGTAACAGGCGTAAATAAGTAAGTCAAGAAAATAACATCTAAACAAAATTTACAAGATGATCATGTTATTCCTGTACGTCGTGAATGGAATTCTATTTAGAATGTTATAGCACTTGGTTCAAAATCGTTTGTAATGGTGCACGTGCATCCTTTCTTTGTGTTCTTCTAAATTCTAATATTCTGAATAGTTCATGTTTCTTTTTTTCTTTTTCCAAACTTATTTCACTGAATTATACTCCTTGAATAACATCTTTGAATGCTAATCTTCCCGATTACTGCTTATACTGTTACTACGTTTGTCACTATGGGATTTGAAACGGCAATTGTATCTGTGTGGTAATGTGGTATGGCCACTTGAACTGATGTACGTCCGTACGTACATACGAAGTTACATGTTCTTGCTGACTGACTAATTATAGTACTTAGGAGATGAACTTTATCCCATGAAACTATGTGTAATAATTTTATTTCATTATTGTTTATTCATTTCATTTCTTCAAATACATTTTAGACTGAAATAATGACTGGAAGAGTAGAAGTAGACTATGCTGTATCTAATTTGACTTTAGGTTTCTTTGAAGATTCAGGGTAAGATTATCTTTATAATGTAATATTCTTAAGTACTTTAGCTTACAGAGAAAAAAAAGTAGTAATTCAGTTCTCCATCAATCCTAGTAATATAATCTATAGTATGAATTACCTCAATTACCTTAGAGTACTTGTTCGTAATATCATAGATCCTCTGTTCAAAAAAAGTATTAAAACACAATTGATTTACTGTATCAATTTAGTTTAAAGTATAAACTATATAAATAGGTTACAAATAACTAAGTTCCATGAACCGTATATAAAGTAACTAAGCCATCATTTCTGACTGATTCATTATATGCTTCGAGAGAATTATAACTTTACAAATATACATATTGTATGTTATTTCCTTACCATAAATAGCTGGTTGTTTGTTAGGAAATTTATCTGATTCTAAGGTAAGGATTGTATCATTTAAATGTGACATTCGCCACTGATCAGAATCCTAAAATCGTGTATGTTTCCAGTAAATGTAGATTAGGTTACAATCAGTTTGCTAAAAATGTCGTCATTTAAGCAAACGAATACTTCATAAATATAATTAGTATTCATACTAAACATCTCAGTTCATACAGATGATTTTCTCAGCTACTTGGGTCATAGAAACATTTCTTCTTCACAACATATTCATCTGATAATCTTTATTTAATTGTCTAGTAATGAACAAATATTCATATATAATAATATAACATTCTCAACAATATCAATACAAGCAGACATAGTTTGAATTTCAGTGGTTAAGATGATGAGTCAGTTGGATGCCTGCTGGTTCAGTGATCTAGTGGTTAAGTGCTCGCGCGCGAAAACAGTAGGTCCTAGGTTCGAATATCGCAGGCTGCGGGATTGTGGGTGCGCACTGCTGAGGAGTCCCAAAATGGGACGAAACGGCCGTCTAGTGGTTCCAGGTTTCCCATGTTGGTTTGGCTTCAACTGACTCATAATCTTAACCATTGAAATTACTATAATATCCACAAAACCCATCTGACATAGCTTTAAGTTAATATACTTTAATATAATTCAAAATAATTCATTTATTTAACACCGGAATATTTCAATGACTTTATCCTTTGTATATATCGATAAAGTATCTGTTGAGTCGGATTTTCGAGAACTGCAACGGAGCCTCCAGAGGCCCTAAAGGAGCCGAAGAGTCCTAGGCAATCAGAGCATGATGGAGCTTTCTAGAACATCAGCGTGACGTACTACTGTTTGTCAGTGGCATAATATGTTTTTTAGCGGATTGACCAAAATATAATGTTGATTTAAAAAATGCTACTTACTCACTTACTTAAGCCTGTTACTCCCAATGGATCATAGGCCGCCGACCAGAATTCTCCAACCCATTCTGTCCTGGGCCTTCTTTTCTAGTTCCATCCAATTCTTGTTCATTTTTCTCATGTCTATCTCCATTTCCCGGCGTAATGTGTTCTTTGGTCTTCCTCTTTTCCTTTGGCCTTGAGGATTCCATGTGAAAGCCTGTCTTGTGACGCAGTTCGATGTTTTCCCCAATGTGTTTCCTGTGCACCTCCAGCGCTTCTTCCTGATTTCTTCCTCCACATTTAACAAATGTTAACATCTATAAATACCCGTGTTTTTCTGTACAAAAATGAACCTTTGGAGTAGAGTGTTTTCGGCTTATTTTGCGCCTTTTCTCTCGAGTTCAGGTCGCTGCGTAGTTCTAGCTTGCGTGCTACCAGAATAGCTTAGGAACCGAATGAAGCGTTCAAATTAACAAGACTTATCAGTATCTATGATAATTATGCCTTTTTCATTCTCAATAAATTTAGACAACAAATCTATGCCTATATTACATAATCAACAAAATATGCTGGAAAAACTAATCTAATGTAAATATTCATAGTTGTGAATAAAACTCCGCCTGGATTCCCTCCGTGGGCTACTGCCGGTCTCAAGCCCGTATAAAGGAGGAGGGTTGGGCATGGGAGTTAGCGACTCCATCTCGTAGAAAACTAACTCGCTAAAAAAATACGCCAACCAGAATAAAACATACTAATTATAACAATTATAGGGTTATTATAAACATGTATCAATTGTGCTTAAATTATATCAAGTTGTTTTTGTTTAATTTATTAGATGGTACATCGTTAATTATGGAAAAGCTATGATTTGGGAATATGGTAAAAGATTAGGATGTGACTTTGCTGAAAAAAGTTGTTACGCATTTGCTGAAATTAAAAGACGCAGGTAAGTTTTAATAGTTGAATGAATGATTCGATCTAAGCAAGACTAATATTAAAAACCTAAAAGCACTAGGTATGCGACTCTTCAACAATTACATCATCATTATTTAATGTTTAAGAAAGCAAAATGTATACTCGGGAAACAGATGTATCAATATATTTATCATACTATTAAGTTCATATCTCGAAAAATAATCAAATATCAAAGTGATGTTATTCCATCAAAACCTTTTTTTAAACTGAAAAGCTGGCCATTTCATCCTAGAATGGGACTTCTCAGTAGCGTGAGCACAGAATCTTGTACGCGCGGATTCGAACCCAGGAGTTCCAGTCTTGCGCGCGAAAAGTCTACTTCCAACGGTGTTAATGTCCAACTTCCATCGATCCATGAATGACTACGCAACCATTCATCTATTATTTGAGGTAGATACTTGTGTCCACTTGACACAGTTTAGACTCCTTTAGTCATAGCTTCTCATTAGAATTCCATGAAATCATCTTGAAGTCAGTCACTCATAAATTCAACTATTAAAATTACTACAATCTCCACAAAAACCTCATTCTGATCATAAATATCAATGATTCAGTATAGTTTACCATTACCACAATATGAATAAAAGGACGTATAGTAGAACAAACTGCTTTCTTACTCCATAATAGGATAGATATTTAAGAGAATTTTCATATACTTATAATAATGTAGCAGTGTAGTGAATAGAACACGGGTAAGGACAACTGAATGTATTTAACACAAAATTACAGGGTATCTCAATAAAATATGAGAACTATATATTAAATCGTTAATTTACAAAATGTCCACCATTTGTCTCAAAATGCCTCAGACTTCATTGTCCTTGCATTTTTATACAGATTTCATTCTATTCCCACTCTTGCTTTCTTGATCTTCTCCCATCTTCTACTGCTAGACATTACATTCTTGACTCGCGTCATATACTACTTATATCAATATAAGTAGCGCGCACTACAGTACGTTTATGATCTGATACCACATTGCTAGACTGTTTGTACACAAAAGAGTTAGATGAATTCTATTGTACATTTACATACTTACTAAAACTTATGTTTCATTGTAAATTAGTTATAAATGATTTAAAAATAAAACTTATTTTTCAAGGAACAAAACAATTCATCCATTCTGTGATAAAGTTAATTTAGTAACATGTCGGGATTTATATTCATATGGAATATGCCGTATTATTAAATATAATCATGAAATTCCCCCTGAAGATCGTTTTTTTAAAACTCCTCCATTTGAAACTCCATATGCAGCTAAATACTTTGGAGGTGATGATCCATTTAAAGATTATTGTCCAACTCAAACTGTAAGTTTATTGTATTATTTCATTTTAAATATTATATTAATTGAATTCATGAGTCAGCTAGACAACCATTGAAAACCTAGAAGCACTGGATGGCCAACTCGTCGTAGTACGGGATTCATTAGCGTTGAGAATCTACCACCCTGACTAGTGAGATTTGAACCTAGGACCTACCAGTCTTGAGCGCTATTCCTTAACTTCTAGACCAGTGAGACGGCATCCAATGGTGTTAATGCCTAACTTCAACCAATTCACGAAATCGCACCATTGTCCACTATTGGCATCTCACAACAGAGACGGTTGAATTGCACTGGTCATGGTTTCTCGGTGAATGATACAATAACTGATATTCTTGTGAATGTCTGCTTCTCTTCCTGAGTTTTTATTCATCACATGTTCATATTTACTCCAGCTGACTTATCTCTCTCTATATATATTTAATATAAACCTATCTTCCTATAAGATTTCATTAAGCCATCTATCATTTAGATATTAGTTTGTTGAAATTGAATATTCCAGTTTTTGTTTATATTGAATTATCAATCACTCATACTTTTAAAAAGAAACTGTTGAACAATACTCATATCTGTACAATCTTACCTTTCAATGGAAAATTATAACGGTACTGAACAATATGTATCATTAGCAAAGTCTGACTTGATAATTTCAATAGTTGAGATCATGAGTCAGTTGAAGCTAGAGCATCGTTAGAAAACTAGAAGCAACGGAGGGCCATTTTGTCCTATTGTGAGACTCTTCAGTAGTGCGCATCCATGACCCCACCTCGCGAGATTCGAACCCACGACCTATATATATATATATTATTTGTAATATCTAAATGAGTCGAAAAATTAAATTTTCTGATGTTTCGTGACTCAGTGTAAGTCACTTCTTCAAAGAATAAACAAATAACCAAATCAAAATTAATCCAGGTTTAAATAGTACAAAGGAACAACATAGAATTGAGTAAGAGAAAAGACTGTATAATTCATCATTAGTAGTTCAATAATCTACAAGGTTTTATCAATCTCTCAAATAGATGCTTATCAACTATTTTTGAAACATAGATCTATTTAATGTGAAAGAAGTCAAGTCATTCTAACAAAGTAATGACAATGGTAAGTATAAATCACTGATTATAAAATACTCCAAGTTATATGTCCATAGTAACTATTGGAAGTTTCCATACAAGTTTGTTTAGAACTTCTCAATTCACCTCTATACTAAATGAAGTTAGATGGTGGTTGGAGGTAGTCAACAGGAAACCCTGGACCCGGGTTTCGTGCTACTTGGCACTGGTCAGCAAGGTGTACCTGTATTCTTGAGGAAACTGGTGCTCCCTGGCGGATCCGATCTCGTGTCACTCAGCTTCACAGTCAGAGACGTTACCACTGAGCTATCCGAGCCGTGACTGACCTCCTGTAGGACTGAGATGTAATCACAATTGATTGATCACTGGGTGGTGATCAATCTCATGCTTGTCTAGTCCTTATTAGTGCAGATCGAATGCTATCGATCATGTTGCAATGTGACCACCAGTCTAGGTGACTCGACACTGCGGGCACTATGTATTGAGATTAGATGGTGGTTGGAGGTAGCATTCGATCTGCACTAATAAGGACTAGACAAGCATGAGAGTGATCACCACCCAGTGATCAATCAATTGTGAAATGAAGTTAAAATTGTTAATTTTATGTTTTTCTATTTTATGTAAACCTTCGTATTAGTTTGTTATGAGTTCGATGAACGATAGAACGACATCATTTTGTACACATCATGAAAACACAGAAATAACACGTGAGCATAGAGTTATCTCGTTATGTGATATGTTCTTATTCTTGATGTTAATCAGTTTCTAA